AAAATTCTAAAGTTGCATCATAAAAGACTTTCAAAAACTTAATAAAGCCACGTGCATAATTCCAATCCAATGAGGTGGGAGCCTTTTTATTTTCATCCATACAAAATTCACGAACATATTGTGTATCTTGCTCCTCTAAGCACTCAAAAGCTTTTTGATATTTTTCTGCAACTTCTAACATTAAATAAGTAGAATTCCACCTTGTTTGAACATCTAGACATAACCCCTTATGTGAAGAAATTTTTACTCGCTCTGCACATGCCTTAAGCTTTTGGGACCTCGCCGGAGAAGACTTAACATATCTCACCACATTACGAATTCTAGTGATTGACTCGTGATAATCTTCTAGACCCTCCTTCACAATGAGATTTAGTATGTGTGCACTACACCTCATGTGCATATTTTCACCATTCAATATTGAACCATTCCAATCATTCACTTTTTTTGACAAATATGCAACAGCAAGATCATTTGAGCTTGCATTATCAACTGTCATAGTCAACACCTTCTCAATTTCCCACTCTAATAGACATGTCTCAATTGCCCTTCCAATTGTGTCACCCTTGTGATTTACAATTGTGCAAAAATTCAGAATTTTCTTCTGTAATCTCCATTCATTATCTATATAATGTGCTGTGAGACACATATAGTTAAGATTTTGGCGAGATGACCATGTGTCTGTGGTGAGACTAACTCTTTGGCGATTACCAGCTAAATAATTTTTCAACCTTATCTTTTCTTTTTTATAAAGGTTTAAGACATCTCTTGCAATTGTGAAGCGAGACGGGACTTGAAATCTAGGTTCACAAACATGTAACATGTTCTTAAAACCCTCACCCTCTACAACTCTAAAAGGTTGTTCATCAAGTATGACAAACTTAACAACTGCTTCCCTACATGCCTCTGGACTATAACTTGTAGCAATGAGTTTGCCTTCTTCCTCCCCTTTCTTTGGTTGGAAAGACAAAGTTTTTTGCTTCTTATTATCTCGACCAAGATACTCCTTACATTGATTTGCCAAATGACTCAACAAGTTTGATGTCCCATTTTTCTTGCTACCACATGCATATATTTTATTGCAATACTTACATTTTGCTTGAGGATTTTTTGGATCATCTTGCAATTTAATAAAGTGTTCCCAAACAACTGAAGGAGGTCTAGAAGGTTTTCTCTTACCTTCAATGGGAGTAGAATCACTGGGTTTTGTTTCTTGCGGCAACACTTCAACATTTGTAAGTTTGACAGCATCAATAACATTAGAAGTTGAAGGCGCATCAGTTGGTGGTTGACTTGTATTTCCAGTCTGGTTTTTCATGGAAGTTGAAGTTGAAGTTGTCATCTGTTTCATAAAACTCTGTTAATATTATGCTTGAATGATGAATCATTGAGTTCTTGAACCCAAAATAATAAACACTTACCAAATATGCTGTTAAAGGGGTATGGGAATTCTTCTGAGCTTGCTAATAATATACTAAAGCTCGTGGATCCTTGGTAAGTAAAGCAAGCATGATATAGCTACACTATATCTAATATATTAGCAATATATGGGAGTTTGTGAGCATGAGCATGCTGTGTTGCGTATGGGAAATACAAATTTGATAGTTTCTTAGCATGTTGAGCATGCTAAGTATGGGTAAGGTCAATATATTAATTTTTTATTTTTTAATTAATATATATTTATATATTTTACAACAGGGACGTATAGGAAGACTAATATATATATATATATATATAAATGCATATATATTGGATTGGTTCGGTTTTGGTTGGATTTTGAAATCTTCATCCGCCATCCAAACCGATCCAATTGGATTTTCAATTTTCTGATCCAATCAAATCCGCTGATGTTGTCGAAACCAATAAAAATTGGATTGGATTGGGTTGGATTGGTCGGTTTTAGCGGATTGGTTTGGATCCTGCACAGCCCTAATGATGGAGCATTTTCAAAAAATATAAACGCGTCGTGGACAATTGGGAATTGTACTATTTTGTGCTCCACTATGAACGAGCGTTTTGTTAATTAATATTATTTAAGATCTTTCTCTTCAATCTAAATGCTTTGCATTTCCACATTTCGCTCCAATTTGAAAAATTCAATGATCCGTCACTGTGACTCGGTACACCATTCCATGGTAGGGGTTCATCCTAAAGAGTAGTTGTTTAGCAGTTAGAAGCGAGGAGCTTCCAAACATGTAGTTGTGTTATGTCATTTGTTTACTTCTAGTGAGTGACTCTAGAGAGTTGAATTCCTTTTTGTTATTTTTGTTTTGTAACATTGGACTCTAAATTTATTAGTTTAGTGTTGACTTCAGTTTGGGTTTGTGGCCTATTTAAATCTAGCATTAAAGGATAATTTTTCCTTTAGCGTTAAAATGTATTCTCATTCATGCTCTGATTTTGATTTTTGTTTTGTTTTATTTTTATGTGTTAGAAATTTGGGGCATGACACTCCTTTATTTGGCCCTTGTGGGCATTAGAGGTGTTGGGGACATGTGCATGTGTTGAGAGTCTCAAATTATATCTTTTTAATATTTTTTTGAAGATTTTATAACATAATTTTGACTTAATAACGATAATTTCACTTTTTTGCTATATTTTATTCTCACCTTTTGAAATTATGAACTTTCTATATTAAATTTGTTGAACTTATTACGATATTTTTTGTGTAGGAGTTACATTGGAAGTGTAAAACATAAAAGATGAAGATATCTATTTGTCCACGTTCAAGCAAATTGTAAAGAGAATCGTTCGCGGACTTTAAAGAATTAATTTTGATAGATTATTATAATTATAAAAGAAAAGTAAATAGGGAAAATATATAGAAGACAAAACCGTTAATGAAAAGAGCGCTAGCCTATTCCATAACATTTAACCATTTATACACCCACTACCCTCACCATTTGTTTTCCACTAACTCTCAACCATCAACATATCCATTTAATTCATCACTTAATCCCTTCCCTTCCCTACCCACCATGAATACATTAACCTTCCACATACCTCATTGCCCACTATAAATCACTCGTCCACCCCTTTTGCAAAGACACACCATTATAATTTTTTTTTTCCATCTCGTTCAAATAGTTAAATTATGTTTTCTTTGTAATGAGTTCCAAAAACTCTAGATAAGGCTAAAGGGAATGTTCTTTGAGTAAGTTTGTGAATTATTCTTTGATCCCGCATACAGTATGAATTACTAATTTCTGTAATTTTTGGTTGTTCAAAATTTTCATATTTTTTTTAGTATAATTGATATTAAGTGCTAATGTTTTCATGAGTTTAATTGTATTTTCTCATTGTTAAGAACTGACTTAATATTATTTTCATTTTAAAAAAACCAACATTAAAGAATTCAATCTGTTGAACAATATCATTGATAAAAGGTAACATTGGAAAATTAAATTGGTTTTAATTTTTTCATCTTTTGGTCAACATTTCTCTATGATAATTTTAATTGATATAATTTGGGTTAAAGAGAATGAAACATGTTTTACTTAAAGAATTAAACCTTGATGCCTTGGTATTTTATCATTGATATTTCAATTTCAAACTCAATCTCTATAATATTCAAATCAAATCACCTTTTCATTTTTGTTGTCGTTTTCATTTTGGTACGTTTAATTGCGACTTTGTGTTTGGACTTTTTCCTATATGCTTATTGAGGATAGGATACTTGGACTTCCAAAATTATTACTACCCAAAAACTTGTTGCAAAGTCCAAGTATTGTACATTCAAGGAGCATATAGTAAAAGTTCTAAATAGAAGTGACAACAAAAATGTAATTTGATTTGATTTGAATATTGTTGAGATTGAGTTTAAGATCGAAATATCAATGATGGAAATACAAACGCACGAAGGTTTAGTTCTTTAAGAAAAACATGTTTCTCTTACTCTTTAATCCAAATTATAACTTGATTAAAATTATCATAGAGAAACTTTAATCAAAAGATTGAGAAATAAATTAAAATCAATTTAATTTTACAATATTTATCTTTTATCAATGATTTTTTAGAAAAACGGAACTGCTCAATGTCGGTTCTTATAAATTAAAAGAGTGCTAAGCCAGTTCTTAACAATGAGAAAAATACAATTGAACTCATGAAAAGAAAATAGCACTTAACATCAATTATACTAAAAGAACATGAAAATAGAACCAAGGTGGTTGGTGTGAGTGGTTCGGCACTCTCATTCCTTAAGAGAGGTCAGGGGTTCGATCCCTGCTCTCGTACGGAGTCACCACTTTGGCCAACACTTTACCTCTTACGGGCCGACCCGGTGTGAGTGGGGATTAGTCTGGGTTGTGGTTAAGGCTTAAAGGTGTCACCCATAGTTGAGGCCTATCCAGGACCACCTCATGGTTCAGACAAAAAAAAAAAAAAAAAAACATGAAAATATTGAATAACCAAAAATAAAAGAAATTAGCAATATTGCATACTATATGTTGGATCAAAGAACAATGCACAAACTTACTCAAATAACATTTCCTTTAACCTTAACTAGAGTTCTAGCAATTGATTACAATGAAAACATACTCTTTGAAAGATTTGGAGAAAGAAATCTGTCGTAATGGTGTGTCTTTACAAAAAGAGTGGACGATTTATAGTGGGCAATGAGGTAAGTAGAAGGTTAATGTATTCATGGTGGGTAGTGAGGGATCATGACGGATTAAATAGATTAAAGAGGTATTGATGATCGAGAGTTAGTGAAAAAGAAATGGTGAGATAGTGGGTCTTAAATGGTTATGAATTTAATGCCATGGAATAGACACTTTGGCATCAACAGTTTTGTCTTCCATTTTTCCTCTTGCTGAAGGGTAGTAATTTTGTGATTCACATGTGAAATCTTGCTCCCACAATTATATTTTCAACCCACAAATTATGAGTTCTCCATCATTTGTAAGCATGTAAACAGTAGATACCAAAGTTGAATAAGAACACAAATTGCGATAGAAAATTCCATTATCCCCCATAATACAAAACCAAAACAAACATATATAACATAACAAAGATTTAATATGCTTGTTATTTCACTGAGCACAATTCAGATATGATCGTAAACGAAGCCAAGTCGAGGCCTTTTATATATGACGCTTTTATACATAACCACACCAAACATATTAAAATAGCATAAATTAATATGATTTTTATTTCACTGAGAAAAATTCAGATATGATTAAACGAAGCCAAACGGCGGAGAGGCGCTTCTAATATGTCTGCGTAGGAATATTGTCTGTGGCTTCAAGTATCATCTTAAAGGCATTTTCCATGCAAGCCTTGAATTTCTCAGGATCAATAAGGCCCTTTTGAGTTCCGAAGGCAATCCTCACCTTTCCCATATAACTGACTACTGTTACGATAAGGTCCTGCAAAACCATTAATCGAAACATTTCAATTAGACTGGGGAAATTATTGTACGGTACTAGAATACGATTATGTGGTGTAATCTGTGCACGTGTTATAACATGAATGAATGATAGGATTAAGATTTTCCACTTTTTGGAAATAAGATTAATAAATATCTATTTATATTATAACGTGTGGACAAATTTATCTTGCGAATCACTGTAATTATGTTATGTGTATTCTAAGAGAAAAGTAAAATATAATTGGCGTACACGATAAAATTCCGCAAATAGACACTAATAAGTAATAACCACATACCTGCGGTATACCTAACACCATAAAGTAAACTCCTCTAACTGGATGATCCGCCAAAGCCATTTGCTCCGCTGGCCCTATCATATTTGATATCATGAGGCTCGAGTTCTTCAATCTGCTGTGCATGTATCTTGATGCTCCCTGCAACACCGGTACCAATTCCAAAGGAGGAATACGTTATGTTATATATTCTTCTAAGTATGTAGGAAAACAAATACATTACGCTACAAGAAAAAACAGTAATAGCGACTGATATGATGTGGCAAATGAGTTGGCTAAAAGCACTATTAAGATCTAAGGGCACAATGGGTACAAAAATAATCATGTGTTAGCTATATTAGGACGTAAGCCAACAGTATTTTTAGCCACCTCATTTTATGTCAAGGATGTCAATGGATATTAATTATGTTTTCTTGTAGTGAAGTGAAATTAATTTATTTAGGAATGATGGCCACCTCATAGCCTCTAATTTTCTTCACGATTTCTAACATCTTCTTGTTGACGTAAACAGCAAAAGAACTTCTCCTCCTCTTTATAAGCTTTTGTGCTTTGAACACGAAGTCCAGTGGGTTTGAAAATTGAGTTAACTTGGGCATGGTCACCGGCATGAAGGCCATTTGGTTCCCCCACGGCATCTCGGAATCCGGTTTGATCATCTCTTTGATCGGCTTGTAATCACCATGAGTGATCCTGGTATTGACCAAAACCAAGGCTGTGCAACTTGCAGTGCTTGATTTTTGGCTCTTCTCTTGCATGTACAGTCGAGTGGCAAAGAACAGTGCTCCAGCTATCACATCATTTACACCGTCTGCCACAAAAAATAAATTTGTTAAACACGTGATGTACAACGTTGTACAAAAATATTTTAGTTCACCATTTAATAGATTTCCATATTTAAGGTCAACATTTAATAGGTTTCCGTGTAGTCACCTTCTCATTTAGTACTAACAGGCGGCTTGGTCTTTGGTGGTTAATGGTAGGATGATAGGTGTATCTTATTTTCTTGGATGAGAAATTTCAAACTCTCCGCTTTAAGTTTGGGAGTCATTTCTTGGTGTGATAATCACAACGCCATGTGATAATCACTACTTGTGCTTCTTAGTACATTAGGGTTCTTGTAGGGATAATAAATTAATGGTGAAAATAAGGGATTGTGATTTCTCAAAATATGATTGATTTGAAAATATCGGGTGGGTGAGAAAGAGGACATGAGGCTGGGAATTAAAGTTTGTTACTAAGTGTGAAAATTAGTAAAGTAAAATAAGTGTGAAACATAATGAAAACGAACTAGGTAAGTTGAGAGAATATGTCATGCTTGATAAGTTTGTTACCGTGTTGAGCTTGGTCTTGATAAGTTTGATTTCATCAAGGGAGAATGTCATGCTTGATATTGTCATTGGCAGAAACTCAACTCCATAAATCCCAGATCTTATTGGTGTGAGATCATCTTGAAGCAAAGAGTTCCAGCTGAAATCTTTCACAGTGTCAAAAACAGAGGCAAAAGTCTCAGACACCCTCATTTCCATGCACCCCAAACTCCATCGTACGTTTCTTCTTCTTCTTCTTCTTTTTTATCTAATTTATATACGTGTTCTCTTGAGCTCTAGGTAACTCAATTAGAAGTTGTAGTTTCGTTATTTTTGGCTTGCATATTTATAGGAGGTCCAGGCTGACCATTGCACGCAAGTTTTTTTTTTTATAAAAAACAAATGAAATGCAAAACTCACTATATGCATGTTCCTTGACATTTCCCAGTACAAAGGGGCCCATTTTGATTTGGCATGAAATTATATATATTCATGAATCATTAGACGAATTAATGGCAAAACCTTTTCTAAGAGGATTATAAAAATCTAAAAAGCTGGGGAAAATGTCAAGCGAATTAATTCCCCGGATTATTGAAACTTATTTCATTTATTAAGAGGCAGCAAACTTTGGTTCTTCTTCTTTTATAAGTGTGTGGATTTAAAAATAATTTGGACGTGATCTCTAAGCTTCACTTCAACCCTCTTCCATTGCTTCTCTCCGTTAATGTCAACCTGCACGTTTTTCAATATTTTTTCTTAGTTTCCTTTTAATCATATGATAAAATGCTCATCAATAATTTTTAAATTGACCGCAGAAAATACTAAAACAAAGTACAAAGTATTAAAACAAATATGATATCTACTTGTAATGATCCAAAATAAGTACAAATGCACAAAATGCATGTGTTTTTCTTTTTCTTCTAATATAAATTGAAGTATATATACATATGCACCATAATAGTCTAATTAAGAAATTTAACCCTATGAACGTATATATATCGGAATCCTTTCTTAAAGGATCGATTTTGTATTGATAAGATGCTTTTGTTATTAACAGTTTATCTTTTAACAGTGAATATTTTGAGGGATCCTTGAATTGAAGCTATATATATATATATATGTATATTAGGGTTTACGGTAGAAAATAATAGAGAGGAAAAAAAAACCATGATGGAGGAGAATCGAGGGCTGATAGGGAGGAAGACATCCTGAAGGAATGACAAGATCTTTGATTCATTGATTGGAATCTCAAATTCCAAAACACCAAGAATTGACATGGATAGCACAGAGCTGTTGAGGCATTGGCCAGTAGGACTCACGGGCTCATTTCCATGCACCCCAAACTCCATCGTACGTTTCTTCTTCTTCTTCTTCTTCTTCTTTTTATCTAATTTATATACGTGTTTTCTTGAGCTCTAGGTAACTCAATTAGAAGTTGTAGTTTCGTTATTTTTGGCTTGCATATTTATAGGAGGTCCAGGCTGACCATTGCACGCAAGTTTTTTTTTTATAAAAAACAAATGAAATGCAAAACTCACTATATGCATGTTCCTTGACATTTCCCGGTACAAAGGGCCCATTTTGTTATTCAACACTAATTAATGGCATGAAATTATATTTATATATATATATATATAATGGATAGCACAGAGCTGTTGAGGCATTGGCCAGTAGGACTCACGGGCTCATTTCCATGCACCCCAAACTCCATCGTACGTTTCTTCTTCTTCTTCTTCTTTTTTATCTAATTTATATACGTGTTCTCTTGAGCTCTAGGTAACTCAATTAGAAGTTGTAGTTTCGTTATTTTTGGCTTGCATATTTATAGGAGGTCCAGGCTGACCATTGCACGCAAGTTTTTTTTTTATAAAAAACAAATGAAATGCAAAACTCACTATATGCATGTTCCTTGACATTTCCCAGTACAAAGGGGCCCATTTTGATTTGGCATGAAATTATATATATTCATGAATCATTAGACGAATTAATGGCAAAACCTTTTCTAAGAGGATTATAAAAATCTAAAAAGCTGGGGAAAATGTCAGGCAAATTAATTCCTCGGATTATTGAAACTTATTTCATTTATTAAGAGGCAGCAAACTTTGGTTCTTCTTCTTTTATAAGTGTGTGGATTTAAAAATAATCTCGGTGAGGTGGAGCCTAGGCCTAGAATCTAGACAATTAGCGTCATTCTTGGTGTGATGTGTTGGTGTTTCATAGCACGACTGGTCAAAAGTGCAATAATGAGGATGATGATGATATGGATCTAACTTCTGCAAATACTTAATTCACAGGGCCGAACTGGCCTTTGGTGTTGGATTAGTTCTTGTCACCAGTCAATTTTGTGCTTTAAAAAAAAAAGGGGGTTGGACTTCTTCAGCTGATCAATACAATTTGCTGGAGTTGGGTGTTCAATTTTTCTAGTGTATTCTTATCAAAAAGCAGTTCATATGCAGCTACAACAGTTCCTCTACATATGAATTTAAAAAATATTGGATCATTAGTTACTGGCACTCATCAGAATGATGCGTCTCTCAAACTGCATATACATTGGATCACAATCACATGATTCAAAAAACAAAACCAACTGAAACATCATCAACATTCTAAAAACAAGACTTTATATTTATTAATCCTCATATTAATTTCATATAAAAACAAGACTTTATACATGATTTTAACATAAAACAGTTCCTCAAACTACATCTACAGCTAGCAAACCATTAAATCACAATATATAAAAAATTCAGAAAACAAAACCAATGAAAACAACATCAGCATTTTAACAGCAAATATGAATTAATCACAAAGCAGTTTCTCTGCATATGCATTTCATAAAAATGTTTTTTAAAATCCATATGCAACTGGCAGACTAGTAAACCACAACCACAAGATTCAAAAAACATCATCAAAATTCTAAAAACAAGCCTTTATATGAAATAATAATCAAACTACATATGCATTTCATATAAAACTCACGGGCGCATTTCCATGCACCCCAAACTCCATCGTACGTTTCTTCTTCTTCTTCTTCTTCTTCTTTTTATCTAATTTATATACGTGTTTTCTTGAGCTCTAGGTAACTCAATTAGAAGTTGTAGTTTCGTTATTTTTGGCTTGCATATTTATAGGAGGTCCAGGCTGACCATTGCACGCAAGTTTTTTTTTTTATAAAAAACAAATGAAATGCAAATAAATTGACCGCAGTAAGTATTAAAACAAAGTACAAAGTATTAAAACAAATATGATATCTACTTGTAATGATCCAAAATAAGTACAAATGCACAAAATGCATGTGTTTTTCTTTTTCTTCTAATATAAATTGAAGTATATATACATATGCACCATAATAGTCTAATTAAGAAATTTAACCCTATGAACGTATATATATCGGAATCCTTTCTTAAAGGATCGATTTTGTATTGATAAGATGCTTTTGTTATTAACAGTTTATCTTTTAACAGTGAATATTTTGAGGGATCCTTGAATTGAAGCTATATATATATATATATGTATATTAGGGTTTACGGTAGAAAATAATAGAGAGGAAAAAAAAACCATGATGGAGGAGAATCGAGGGCTGATAGGGAGGAAGACATCCTGAAGGAATGACAAGATCTTTGATTCATTGATTGGAATCTCAAATTCCAAAACACCAAGAATTGACATGGATAGCACAGAGCTGTTGAGGCATTGGCCAGTAGGACTCACGGGCTCATTTCCATGCACCCCAAACTCCATCGTACGTTTCTTCTTCTTCTTCTTCTTCTTCTTTTTATCTAATTTATATACGTGTTTTCTTGAGCTCTAGGTAACTCAATTAGAAGTTGTAGTTTCGTTATTTTTGGCTTGCATATTTATAGGAGGTCCAGGCTGACCATTGCACGCAAGTTTTTTTTTTATAAAAAACAAATGAAATGCAAAACTCACTATATGCATGTTCCTTGACATTTCCCGGTACAAAGGGCCCATTTTGTTATTCAACACTAATTAATGGCATGAAATTATATTTATATATATATATATATACATGCATGAATCATTACACTAATTAATGGCAAAACCTTTTCTAAGAGAATTAGAAAAATCTAAAAATCTGGGGAAAATCCACAGATCATTGAAAATTCTACAGATATTTCATTTATTAAGAGGCAGCAAACTTCGGTTCTTCTTTTTTTGTAAGTGTGTGGATTTGAAAATAATCTCGGTCGGTGGAGCCTAGGCCTAAAATCTAGACAATTTGCGTCATTTTTGGTGTGTGTCAAAAGTGCAATAATGAGGATGATGATGATATGTATCCAACTTCTGCGCACTTAATGCCAAGGGTGAGATACTATTGGAGACAAATTGAACACGAAAGTCGAACCTTTGGCAAATTGGCATCGTATACGTACACCACCAGTTCGACACATGAAACCTATGTTCGCTTTTGACTCATAACCTAGACTTAAGACTTCTTATGGTAGGTGTACCATCAATTAAGCTTTAGCTAATACATGTTAATGAGATTTAACAAACAGTCACGGTATATGGCATAAAAACAAGAGTTTCAGATGGAGTAGTCAGATGGTGGAAATTAAAAATAATACAAAAATATAATTTTGCCTCTGTATTTAACATAAAAAATAATAAAATTGACAGTAGGACCATTTGTCCAAACGAAAGTGAAGTTTAAGGATTACGAAAATAATTTTGGAACTTGAGAGACCCAAATGCAAATCGGCGGGTTAAAGTTTAGGGACCATTAGACCTAAAAACCCTAATTGTAGAGGGCCATTGTTACTTTGACTTAGTGAGGTTATGAGTATTGTAAAAAGTTATCTTAATTATTGGGAAATTCTATAGTGGAGTCAAGTCTTAATTAAATACATATGAGGGGTATTTTAGTTTAATCGGTTTGTATTGAAGAAAAAAATTTCAACTTAGCACAGTAAAAAGCCTCTACTCTACTAATCAATCCCATAGCCCAATTCTTCCTATTCTTTGAATATATTTTGCATATTGACAAAATCTTACAGATGTATCAGTTTTTGGGTCAAAAACTTATTCATCTTTCGATAAATAAAAAAATAAAAAAATAAAACTTATATCATCCCAGGTATTTGCATCAAAAGAAGGAGGACAATTTTTCGAACCAAAAAAAAAAAACGAGGACAATTGTATGAAGGTGGTGGGGTAGGATGCTAGGGATATGGATTAATATAGTCAGGTCACCAACTAATAATTAATATAGTCCTCCATATCTACCAAGTACAGGGATATGGATTTGAAAATAGAGTTGGTTAAATTTATTTTACATAAAAACCTACAAAACTTAACGGTATAAGTGAATTTCATTGAAGTATGAATTTTAAGGTCAATTAGCAATTACATGATGAACTTCTTCATGAAAGGAAAAGAATTGAAATTTTTTATTATCCATTACAAAAGAAGAAGAAGAAAAAAAAAGAACCATTTTATTCCATCCAAGCCAACTTGGAAAATAAAAATGAGAAGAAGTAGCCAAAATTTGTATAGAAAAAAAAAAAAAAAATGAATTGACGTTTTATGTACTCTAGAAAAGATAAAGGTTTTTTTTTTTTTTTAAACAAAAAAAAGTAAAGGATGTTCTCTAGGAATGTGTGTTTTATGAAAAAGGCTGAGTAATAAATATTAATTAACTAAAGAAGAAAAAAAGATTTATGTGGGTGGGATCACTAGGATGAGGTGTGTAGAGGTGTACTTTAGTGGGCTGAGTATTAATATTGGACTATAAAATATCAAGTAGCCCGGCTTTAGCCCATGTTAGCATGTACCTCCGTCCCTGACCAAGTATCAACCAAAATAAATTCGTAACGTTAAATGTGATATTTAAAGGCAGTAACTACTGCCTTTAATATTGACAGCAGGGTTGGCTACTGCTGTTTGGTTCTTTTTTTTTTTTTTTTTTTTTTTTGGAGTAATAGATTTGGTAAATGTGGTGGTAAAGGCTTGAAGTTGAGTGAGAGATTCCAAAGGCTCAAGTGATGTACTTTCTCCATCAACTATGATGAATTTGGCATGAAATTATATATGCACGAATCATTGGACTAATTAATCGCAAAATCTTTTCTAAGAGGATTAGAATGGAAACTAAGGCACTGTTTAGTATCCCTACTCAAAAAAGTAAACTCAACATTTTTTATTCTTTTTTAAAACATGAGTTTTCAAATAGTGATTTTAAAATCTAAAAACTTGTGAAGCTGAAACCCTAGAAACCGAAAATATGAAAAAAGATTCAATTTTGGGTCGGGTCGGGTTGGACAGGGAGGTATTGGATTAATCAAACCTTGATGAAGCTGCAAACGACGAGGTCGACCCAGAACCACCACCGGCTCCAAACATGGCGCTGACAATGCTTGGCCCGAAGATCGCCCCAAGCTCCGACACATCCATATGAAATGACGTCTCTTGAACTTGCTTCGGTGGTTTTGGTGGTATTGATTTGCAAAGACAAACTAGATTGGTCGCCATACGAGAGAGAGAGAGAGAGAGAGAGAGAGAGAGAGAGAGAGAGAGAATTGTAGAACCTCACTTCTTTTGTTTTCAATAATAGAGGTATTTTTTAGTATCATCCGCAAAGACTGGTATGCACTATATCTGCTCAATTGGGAGAATGACTAGTACCAAGTCATTACGTGTGGAGAAACTAAGATAAGTGTGTAGGTCCTTATAGTGACAAATACACTAAACGCGATCAAATAACGAGTTCTAGGATGGAACACTAGTACAAAAAGTGAAAAAGACAACCAGAAAAAGATGACGGTAGAAGAAAAAACCGTCGTTGTGTTTAAAAAGACGATGGTAACAAAAAACCGTCGTGGATAAGTAACTTAAACAACTAAAAAACGGAGGTACTGTTGAATATTTTTTTTATAACGACGCACACAAATAAAAAAGCGTCGTCTTATTAAAAAAGTTTTCTTCAGAGTTAAAATCTGACCAAAAAACAACGACAGCAGGTATGACAAGCGTCGTCTTTTAAAAATCAAGTGTCCTTTTTTTGGTAAAGACATGGTTGTTTTGAAAGAACTTGTAACATCCCGACCCAAAATATTATTAAGTTTGGATTTTAATTAAATTAAAATTTGGAATTTCCAATTTTGCCTTGAAGTGGGGGCAAAAAGGGTCATTTTTATCCGGAGAGAGTTTGGGGCAGCAAGTGGTGTTTTTAGAAAGGTGTTACTGAGCCGAGTCCGTAGACACGCGGTAGGCTCGATTCGGACTTGAAACGAAGAAGTTACGATCGAAAAATCATTGAGGATTTAATTGATAATTTTCAGAATTTCATTTTAATAAAATCAGATTTTTCAGATTTTATTTCTCATTTCTCTCTCTCTCTCCCGTGAGTCTCTCTCTCTCCCCGACCCCGTCGCTCTCCCTTCCTCCCTCTGCAACTCAGGCCACCGGCCACGGCAGCGCACGAGACCGGACTCGATCGAACCGCCACCTCCTCCTCTCTCTTCCCCGGCCAGCACCGCACCTGGAGTCGTCGACAGCCGCCGGAAATCGCAGAAAACAGGCCGGAAAATCGTGGAACTTCAACACCTTCGTTCTCCTTCGTTTCTCAACCAAATTGGACGAGTGAGGTATGAAAATTCATCCATTTTTCGTGCTCTAGCTGCCTGTTGGTTAGGTTTCCATAAATTTTGAGAGTTTACAAGTTAAATTTCGAAGTTTAGCTACAGCCGATTTTCAGTCGAAATTTCCGGCCACTTCCGGCCATTTTCTGGCCTTCACCCAAGAAGAAAAGTGGTTCCAAATTAGGTGTATTACCTAGGTTAGGAGTTTGGAGCCAAAATACTAAGTTTTTCCGGTCACCGGAATTGTGATTAAGCCACCCACGCGCGGCAGCGCGTGGGGCGGCGCGTGGGCAGTCCGGCAGAGGCCACATTTTATCCTAGAATGATCCTTACGTTGTCACGAGCGCGTAGGAGTTTACGGATCTCAATTTGGATATCGTTTGGGCCTCGAAC